GGCCGAGCCGAAAATGGGCCGCGGCTCAGCCGGTGTTTCGTGATAGAGATTTTGGTCCGCGGCTCAGCCGGTGCAATCATATCGACATGAATTAAGGTCCGCGGCTGGGCCGGTAAGCCATATTCGGTCCGCGGATCAGCCGGTGCAATCATATCGACATGAATTAAGGTCCGCGGCTGGGCCGGTCTTCGGCCACACCCCCAAATTAAGGCCGCGGACGGGCCGGAAAGGCCTTTTGAGGCCGCGGCTCAGCCGGTCCCAGTGTCTGAGTAGACAGAAAAACTTATCCAATGCAGGGTTGGACCGTCACACCCAAGAAATTCGGTGCCAGTCTCGTTGTGTGCAGCAAGGACTCAGTCACATAATCAGTCAGTCACAGTCTCATGTGTCTCAGTAGTGCTTCCCATATATAAAACGGTTAGGGAACTGTTTCTGGATGGGCGGGATTGTTACGGGGGCGGGAAATAGTTGGGATTTCTAGGCGGCATGGCGAGCAAAGCTACGCCGCATTCTCCTGAGGTATATCCTGAGGGCCATTTGCGTTGCGTCGGTCCTAATTGCATCGCAGAGGAGTCAGCGCTACCTAGCGTATTGAGTCATTCTCCATATTTTCCATAGATAAAGAGATGGAGATTCGGAAGACAAACCTTTAAGGGTCAAAAAATAAAAGAATTTGGGGAAGAGGCGTTGCTGAAGAAGATTCCATGAGTTAACAAAAGAAGGCGAATTCGATTTCTTTTGGAAAGTCATAACCAGGGTTGAGCGTGGGGTCAGGCGCGCCCGACCTGGGGGATTGTAGTGAGAGTAAGACTGAGGGGGGGGGGGTCGTAATTAAGAATCGAATTAATCAAGTTGCGGAGATACTGTGAAGGTGAAGAAGAAGTGCGCTAGTCCGGTGGATATCGTGATCACATGAAGGAATGATGGTCATAAACAGCATACAGATTTTTTCCACAATGGAAAATTCAGCCAAAATCCAAATCTTCTTCTCTTTTACCTTGACATATGAGGTAAACAAGGAAGCTGTGTGAAATGGGTATCATTTCCATAATTAGCATGTTAAACTACCTCTATGCACTCTACAAACCATTACCTACTGCAGTTTCTAGTGTTTCTCAACGCTTAAAAAGCGTGATTTTCAAACGTGATCAACTTGGTTTCAGAAGTGAGAAAAGTCAGCTTTTGAATACTCATAACAAAGTAATGTTCTCTACAACTCCATGCTACAAATCGGACTTCATATCGCATTAAAACAGTGAAGTAAGAAATGCGCCAAAATTCCAACCGGCGCGTTTTTCACGTTAGGTGCTTCAACTTCTCGGATTAGCACAAGGCCGAAACAAGTCGAATCAAGCTCAAACACTTACTGTGGAATCTTCGAGGATTGAGCTAGCAAATCACATAAAACTTGGATAGAAAAGCTTTTTTGGAAATAAAGTTCAATGGGGTCAGGCGCAACCCCTCAAAAGGTCAGGCCGCCTGAGCATTGGAGGAGTTGCGCCTGACCCTCTTAAAGGCAGTGTCCGGGCAAAAACCCGATTTTGAGATTTTGTGCTTATACGGGCCTATTCGCCATGCTGAATCCGAAAATCCACGTTGGAAAGCGCGAAAACGGCGAAAAAGGGCTCTAACACAGGAGGGAAATCCGCAGGTGGGCGGGGCTTTCCCCAGTGCGATTTCACGCTCCCAGTTCCCGGAGCGATTTTCTCGATTCCGCTAGCCGTCCTAACATCGCCACCGGCCAAGTGTGAATGATTGACTTGAAACCGAAAGCGAGAAGGTCGCTCCGGAAGCCGGGAACGTGAATTCGCAGTGGGGAGGACCCCGCCCACCTGCTCACTTCCCTCCTGTGTTAGAGCCGTTTTTCGCCGTTTTCGCGCTCTACAATGTGCATTTTCGGATTCAGCTTAGCGAATAGGCCCAGTAAGCACAAAATCTCAAAATCGAGTTTTTGCCCGGACACTGCCTTCAACATTCAAAAATCGCCCCTTTTTTGATATGAGTATTGTGCGCAAAGCCTCTTCTTGCTATATTGAAAATTTTAAGCCAAACACTCCACCCCTGTGAAAATTATAGCTCTAAATAGAGGACTATCCAGATCTAAAACTCGCCGTCAAGTTGCGTGTGGTTGTGCAATCGCAGAAAGTCGGGCCTACAGCCTTTAAAAAATAGAAACCTGCAGTGAAGGCTGGTCTTCTTCAGAATATAACACCCTAAGGACTTGGAGGTGAAGCGGAGGGTCGTTTAGGGGCTTTCACAAGGGAGGGGGGTCGTTTTTGAAGGATTTGTGCCTGACCTCTTGCTCAACCCTGGTCATAACGGAAAATTTTTGTCCCTTTTCTCTACTAATTCCTGTTCCACTTCTCTTAAACATATTTAAATTTAAATTCAGCCTTTGTTAAATTCATCTGTTTTTCAATTTATCTTTTATTTATTGCATTTATACAGTCTAGACATCTTAGCAATATGGATGGCTCAATCCAACAGCGCTACTTCTGCGGCTGCAATTAAAGGCGACGCAACGGTCTTGATCATCTGTGAAACTTGGGTTTTGCCTGGGCGATGCGAAGTCCAGTGTCCGAGCACAATCTAAATCTATCAAAACAAGGGCGTTAGTTGAAATGGCCTTTCAGGATGGAATGCATACTGTTTTACTAGTAAAGATTACGGAGTCGCATTGGCCTCTAGCAAGTAGATGTATATATTGAAGTTTACTCGAGACACTGATAACAAATCGGCTTTTCAAACCTGCGAAACGGTTCTGTGAAAGAAGTTACGGACCTCTGGTTCTACAATTTTTGCCCTGTCTACAGACGAGTGCGAATATTATCATCATTGTTGCGGCAAAAATGTGTTTTGAAATCAGTCAAAACAAAAACTACAGATATTCGCTGCTTGAGATGATTTTCAGATGAAGTAAGAAAATATGCAAAAAACGCAAAAGCGTAGGATACCTAGTGGATTTGAACCCGCTACCTTATGAGAGCCAGCTGCTCTCTCTTATGCACTGTCAGCGTTTTTATCAATGATACGTCATTATTCGTCTTCGTCTGCTGTAGACTTGTAAAACCCTTAGAATCAGGGGTCCGTAATTTCTTCCACAAAACGCTCCGCAAATTTGGAAAGCAGATATGCTATCGGTGAAAGAAGAAATTTCAATGAAATTTGGGTACTATTCCACATAAGTTGACCCAAAAAATGAAAATCGTGAATCTCGCTAAAACTTCGTCTAGGGGGGTTATTTGGTACGCTGAACACGAATATGATGTTTATTTCGTGCGACAGCGCCATCCGGTGGAGTTACGGTAGGATTACGGTAGGAGGTCAAAATCACGGATTTGCCCGAAATTTGGCCCAGAGGGGTTATTCGACCCGCTGATGCCAAATATCACATTGGTTTTGAACCGTAGCGTCATTTTATCGGGTTACGGTAGATACACGGTGACGGGTGTAAAACATAGTTCATGTCGAAACGGGTGTGTGGCGATTTGGATGATCGTGAAGCTTTGCACACATAACCACCGCCGCGCGCTACACACTCTGCTGCGGCTTTTGCCTAAGGGGAAAGATACATTTGCCGATTTGTGATTTTGACCCCTACTGTAAACCTACTGTAACCATGCAGGGAGACGTTTTCGTGCGGAAAAAGTGTGACATTTCTAATCAGCATGTCGAATAAACCCTCTATGCAAAGTTGCAGCGAATTTCGAGATTTTGACCCCCTACCGTATACCCACCGTAACTCGAGAAGATGACGCTACAGTACGAAGCCAATGTGATATTCGGCGTCAGTCGACCGAATAACCCCTCTAGGCCAAGTTTCGGGCAAATCCGTGATTTTGACCCCCTACCGTAATCCTACCGTAACTCCACCGGATGGCACTGTCGCACGAAATAAACATCATATTCGTGTTCAGCGTACCAAATAACCTCCCTAGACGAATTTTTAGCGAAATTCACGATCTTCATTTTTTGGGTCAACTTATGTGGAATAGTGCCGAAATTTGTCTCCTTGCTAAACACCAGAGCGACTCGCATCCTTCCTTGATTAGAGAGCTGAAACGATGCCAAATCTGCCTTTCTTGCGAAATGTCCGGGGAAGTTATGAGGGTTTATCCAAAAAATCAAATGCATAAGTAGGATAAAATCGGTTGTTAAAATGCTGCAACGAGTGGAGAACTAGGAGAATACATCGGCATAGAGAGCCGTTACGTGTTACTACCACTGCTTCGTTTTCCAGTTCTTCGCCTTTTCGGAGCCTTCTCGCCACTGGGCTTTTTAGCGCATTAAAATGGCGAAAACGAGCTTTTTCCGAGGCTTTCTAGGTCCGCATTGATACGCCGGAGAAAGCCGCGCCTCGCCTTCCTCGTGCAGGCACCGCCCACTTTTCCACTGAATGCGGGCCTGAAAAGCTTCGGAAGAAGCTCTTCTTCACCATTTTATGCGCTGAAAAGCCAAGATATGGGTTCCTTACGGCGAGGAGGCTCCAAAAAAGTGAAAATTTATAAACGAAATCCTGCCGAGATACCGCTTTTAAAGCGCTAAGAAAGTCATCACTGCTAATTTCACCGTAGTTTCCGCATCCAGTTTGTCGCGTAACAAACGCTCATGAATCGTCCAGAAATGCTTCGCAGATAAGGAAGAGTAGTTTTCAAATCAGCGCTTTAGGCACTCCGAGCGGTAATCCCTTTGATTAAACTGGATTGGCGGCTGGATGGCGGGGCTTGTGACCTAATTAAAGCCAGAGAATGATAGGGAACACTTTCAAAGAGACAGACTGCGTCGCGGGCGTGAGCGGAAGCCTTTCAGCCGACAATCTCGTTGAATTAAAGGGTACACTTCAGCCTGAAAAACCGTTTTCACTAAGCAGGCTTTCCTTGTAAGGGATTTTTTTTTGCTAATACGATACGTATTCGCTTGATTAGGGCGCTGATGAATGGAGCAATTTTTTGTGTGTGGCAATGTGCAAACTTTGTATCGATTGCTATCGGCATTTGTAGAAATGGCCCGCTGGATGTCACATTGGCAAGGATAGTGTTTCAGGCTTCTAGATATGAAAGACGTCGCATTGCTCACTGATCTTGAGCTGCGTGATGAACTTACAAAATATAACGTAGATGTGGGTCCTGTCAGTGGGACGACACGTTCATTATATGAGAAGAAACTCATGAAGCTGCGTAAGCAGAATTTACCTGATGTGTCATTGACATCTCAACCAAAGGTAGTGTGTCTTTTTTTGTTACCGGATTATTTTTCATGGAAGCGATTACAGGAATCTAAGGTTACTTCTATTTCAAAACGACCGCTGTCAAAATCACCATCTAGGACATCTTCCACACGCAGTTCTACCCTCAACCGTCGGAAGGTTAATAGATCTGAAAGTGAGGGTAAGTCCTTATTGGATGTTTTCCTCATGATTCAGCAAGCGTGACGCAGCTTTCTAGATGGTTCAGACTCAGAAGCGGTACCAGAGCTTTCATCATACGCCAAAGTGATAACTTCTACACCCGAACCCTCTCCCGAGGCCACGAAGTACACCCACCCATATCCGAAGGGAAGGACTTCGAATGATAGGTAAACGATCAAGCTGGTATTGTGGATTGCGACTAAAAATGTATGAGGGGACTGACGGTTAGAACATTCGAAATGATTCTAATTGGAGCTTTTCTCCATCTTTCGTTTATTCATGTAACGAAGAAACACTTTTTTCTTTGGGCAGATCAGCGCTGTAGTGGAAGATCGTTGGTGGATTGTTCTTTGCACATAGGCATACACTATAGTTGATCCACTTGATCCACTTCGCTATTGTTGATTCTGTGAACTGGTCAATAGCGAAGCTACTTGATACATTTGATTCACTTGATCCACTTCGTTGTTGGTCATTTCTATGCATTGAACAGTAGCGGAGGGCAGTCGAATACAAAATCCAAATCGCATATTCTCAAACCATTCATATTAGCAGCTGCAACCACTTTACACTTCACTCCTGTCTTCACAGCGAAATAACTCCACGTTAAGTTAGCCTTTAGAGTTTTATTTGAACGGTCTTGTTGGAAGATCGTACAACCTTGTTTCAGCATGTATATACAGGGTGCGGCAAAAGTCTGGGAGCCTAACTTTGCAGTACTGCAATTACAAAGGTATTGATGGTTTTGATTTCAATTTTATGCCACATAATGCTGCGGTCATCCTCTATAGAAAACACTTTATTTGGCTGGAAATGGCGGCCATATGTTTTTGTAAGAATGGAAATTACCAAACTACTACTTTTGCAAAGCGAAAAAACCAGAATTTTTGGTATACAATTTTTGCTGTAACTAGAGATGCTGTTGATATTTTACAAAACTCCGATGCACACAACTAGAAGAGGCTTTGCGCTATTGTATCTTAGTTTTGCTTTTGCCAGGAGCTCTTCTTGCATGAACGGAAAATAAAAGTTTGCGAATGTTACCTACGTGCCAGTGGAAATCCGTCTTCAGGACAAATTTAAAAGCTGTAGAATGCTCAACAGGCACTGGGACCAAGGCTGTATTTCTTGCATACGTCTTCTAAATTAGAATCTATTGAAATTCGGCCATGAGAACACTTTTTATACTTTTTAAAAGATATTTTTAAGTTTTTATTCGCGCAATTGTAGCAAAAATTCCGGTATGCGACGTACACATGCTTCTAATTGAAAATTCAATATTTTTATTTCTAAGCAATGCAAACAATTCTTTTGGAAGTATGTTGTAGACAAAAGTTTGCTTTATCACGCTGCATTTGCCAAGGTATAAAAAGCAGTTATCGTGAAGGCGTGGGGCGAATTCCATTACGACTACTGCGTGCCATGACAGGTGGACTTGCCAAGATTTTGTAGGGCTGCGTGGAAGCTAAAAGAGGCAGTTTTGCAATTCAAGAACTAGGCTGTATCTGCAATGGTTCGAATTATGTGTGCGCCAAATTTCTCGTTTCTAGGTACTTCCCTTTTCGTTTTGTACGAAAAAGTACTAGGCTCCCAGACTTTTGCCGCACCCTGTAATTTACCCACATTGTTATGTTCCGATACAAATGTACCCGCTAGCGATGGGATTGTGAACGAGATATGACAGCATTACCTTACCTTTGATTCTCAGCAAAAAAGTTACCGGTCCAGTGAGGAAGAATGAATATATAGCCTTCCGCAAATTTTGACGAAAGGGAACACAACTTACGAGCTTTCCCCACTACGCAAGTCTTGTGCTCAAAAACCTGGTGAGAGTTCTCCTCAAAGGAAAGCTTTCGTATTTGCTGAGAGTGGAAGAAGAGATATATATATATACATATATATATATATATATATATATATATATATATATATATATATATATATATATATATATATATATAGTTGATTTGTTGACCGTACGGACTGGACGTCACTGCGGAGTACGCGCCGCGAGGTAAAACGCTTGCCCCAGTACAAATCCGCCATTGTAATGTCGTGCTCTCGCGACCAGCCGCGCCGCACGTGGACCGCAGCTTTGAGCAGTCCGTGCGGTCAACGAATCGACGATATATATTCTTTTTCGAACTTGATCAATCCATTTTGGCTATGTTTAAGAAGTCAACGACCATATTTTCTCAAAATGATGTTAAGTGGGGGGAGGGGAGGTTCACATGTTGATTTCGAGTACACTACTCTTTTTGCGTTTGAGGGCCTTTTCGTGGAGTTACGGTGAGTGTATGGGAGGCGTCAAATCCAAGATCTGCCTGAAATCTGGGCAGTGGGGCCATCTGAAGTGCTGATCAAAATACCGCGTTCAGTATCGACCCAGAAAAACTGCAAATCTCAAATTTCGCTATACTGATAACGATTTTAATATTTATTCGGTACTGTAGCACCTTATGAGGGATTACGGTGAGTACAGTGTATGAGGTCGAAGTTTTAGATTTTGCTGGAACATCGTCTAGAGGGGTTGTTCGACACGCTGATCACGAACCGTACAATTTTCGCGCAGCGAGGCCCTGATGGAATCACGGTTACACGTTATGGACCAAAATCAATGATTTTGCCGAAATCTGGTCTAGGGAAAGGGGTCAACACAGTGATTACAATATCATGTTCGTTCGCCGCAGTAATGCATTTTCGTGGGGTCATGGTTAAGGTTAAAGCGTATGTCTAGAGCCCTTTTTCCTTTTTAGGCTAAAGTAAGCCTAAGTTGGACTTGGAAATTCACGACAATGCTTTATATGAACATAAGTACGATATTCCTGATCAGATTATCAGAAACCTCATCCACAAACTTCCAGGCAGATGTAATATTTTGAACCGTTACGCATACTTGCCTAATTTGCGCAGTGGTCCTCTGAAAAAGAGTATGATTGTAATCAGGGCGAATGATAACCTATCGCTTTAGATCGATTTCCACTCAAATTTGGTGACCCTGTACCGTACATCAACCATAAGGGCACCGTCTATCCAAATTGAGGTTGATGAGATTTTGATGTTAAATAAATAGCGGGCCCCTAGCTAAGTAGGCCCAATCTTAATGCTGTCCATAGCGAGAAAACCGCTCTAGAATGTAGCTCCGCCCATCAATGTGGTGGGCGCCAATCTAACCGACTATCTGCGTCAGCAGGAAGCTGCGCGACTAGTAAGCTGGTGTCATTTGGCATCATGTAACGAAATCTAAGTGGCGTCTGCGATGTCATCAGCAGTAGTTTTGGAGAGGTGATAAAAAAAAGCCCCGCAGAGTGAGAGTAGGATAGAAAGACTTGACAGTGAATATTTTTTCATGTAGCGAAGTCGCGCAAGCCGAATTGATTTTTCTACTACATGACACCACATGACAGTAACTGCGCCGCGTCCTGCTTCAGCAGGACGATCGTCTGGCGCCTACCTGTGGGCAATCTAAAGATTAACCCAAGAATTGCGTTTCAGTGATGAGAGATATGTCGTAGTTCTGATGACCATAGTGAAGGACGGATCTATCGATTTTGGGTGCATTTGAGCTCCACTTTGACCTTATCATCTTCAGACTACAAACGTTGATTTGCGGAGCCAGCGTGACCGCTTCTAATTTCTGAAAGGTTTCCTCGCTTCGAGATTCATCTTTCACAGCGAGAGATCAGCGATTGTTTGGTTCGGAGCCTCGCTGTTATAAAGCGCCATTCACCACATTTGAATGGGCGGTGCCTTCAAAAGACTCTCGGAAAAGATTTTACCATGCAAAACGAATATCAATTTGGTGACCAGCGCGGCAAATATCCCCGTAGGCGAACTTTTAGCAAAATTCGCAAAATCAAATTTTTAGGTTGTATTGAGCGGAATAACGCCACTATTTGAGAACCTACAATATTCTGAAATGTACTAGTAAAATGATCAGTACAAAGCAATCATCTTCGTACTATAGGGGAGGGGGGGGGGGGCGAATGGAGGCTTAGAGCGCTTAACCGCGACTTGTTTGGGGTACGGGTCAGGAGTCATACCGCGCGCGGTGGTCCTCGCCGCGCTTGAATTTTGTGGCTCACCGTAACTTTCCGGTGCTAAAGTGGCACGGCGTCACAGTGGGGGGAGGGGGGAGGTGGGGGTGACGGCAGATACATGACTCCATGGCATAAGTAACATTGTGACAGGAGTACTGACGGAAGCTGAGTCTTGTACTGCTTGACGTCGCGTTGCGGCGTCGCTTCGCGAAAAATCGTGACTCCTGAGCCGTACCAGAGCCACTTATTTGTCAACAGCTCTGAAGGAGACTGACAGTAGGATATGGCTCTCTAAACAACATTCGTGCTCCAGTCGATGTATCCCCAGCTAAGGGCGGATCTACAGCCACTCGCGAAATGGACCAAGCGGATGAAGCTGATCAAGTATGGGGTGTATGTAAGCGTGTAGCTGCTACTTTGGATTGGGACAGACTGTTTGATATTTATTAGTGCAATGTAACAAGGTTTTTGTGAGGTTGAGATCCTAGGAATGTTTCATCATTCCTTTTTTTAACACAGAAAGTGAATGTAATTGCAGTTACTATGAGTCACTGAATATCTGTTGTTATCGTTCATTCATCAACCGCACCGCCGTCGTTGCGACACATCCGATGCACGGTGAAATGCGTCCCAGTACCGCAGTACAAGTCGTGCTCTTGCAACGTACAGGGCTTATCAGACGCAGTGTCGCTTGCATCAGCATCTCCCCTCCCGCGCTGGACTCTGCATCTCTTCCGCGAACATGCTCTCTATCACTTTTCCAAGGCGAACTTGGGAAAGGCGGAGCCTCAGTCGATTGGAAGTGATTAGGAAGCATGTTCGCGGAAGAGACAAAGACTCCAGCACGGGAGTGGGGATGCTGATGCAAGCGACACCGCGTTTGATAAGCCCTGTATGTACGCACCGCATACCATGGCCGCCGCAGGCGCTGCCAGTATGTGCGGTCAAGAAAAGATACTCGTCTCACGCAAAATTGTTAAGCGGAGCTTCATTCACTTCATCATTGACTCCACCCCGTCCTGCGATACCCACCTACGGAATCGATCGCCCTGGAGCTACACCTCCAAGAAAAGCTGCATTCCCTAGGTACGTTATGATCCTTCTCGCTTGCTGGTTTAGGTTTAGCATATGCAGGAGACTTCAATATGAGTATCACGGTCGACGTGGTTCAGGTCCTCGAGAGCCGCCTCGCTTGGGTCTCACGTGGTACAATACCGTACCCGACACCGCGAAGGCCTTAGCGGTGCGCTATTATACCCCTGAAAGATCCAAGCGACGCGACTAGCGAGGACTTGAACCACGTCAACCGTGACACTCAGATTGTGAGCCCCTGCAGATCTTGAGCTGCGATATGTTAAAAGGAATGTATCAAAGTTTTTTTACTGATAATCTTGTCTAAACAACTTCACGAACGTCAGGCGCCATACTGTAGCGCTGACTTCAACTTGAATTCACAGTAGACTACTGACCGATCTTTCCTTACTCTGCAACTCAGGGCTTTAGGATTATAACTTACAGAGTTCTGCAAGAACGGTAGCATAGTACATTGCGCCATGGGTGCGACAGTCCAATCGGTTCCCTTCAAAGTCGAGGAGTTCTTGGCTGTTTTGACCCGCAGAAGTGGAAGGGGTCCAAAAGTGCCCACACACCCCGGGGCGGGAAGGGGGAGGGGGAGCTGTAAACTCTGCTTTAGATGTATTAAAAAGTCTTAAGTTTATATATAAATCATGGGGTCGGATGTTACTGCGAGCCGATGCAGTTCTCAGGTGTTCCATCATGCCACCCCCTGCCCCCCTCCCCCAATCCCATATCTCCGCGAAAGGAGCTTCTCATGATCTGATCTTTTAACCATCTTGTAGAGTTTGCTTGTTATTGACTGAGCTGTCGCTAAAGGATCTGCGACAATAGGTTTTCTTAATTATTTTAAGTCGTTGTTGTTAACCTTTTTCTCAAAGTAGATTCTTTTGCGATAGCTCAGGTAATATCAAGTAACCTTCCTCTACAAAGTGATAAAGAGTTGATCGCGAGATGCCCTCCTTGCCGCAAAATAGGGCCTCAAAGGCCTTACATTGATATCTACTTTCAACCTTACAGAGAATCGTTGTCAGCAGCTCCTGATTTTGGAGTTCAACAAAACTCCGATTCACCTTTTCTCTTCTGTATTGCATCAATAGCAAAAAATCCAGTGAAATTAAAGCTCACGTAATAATCTCTGCTTTTGTACGATCGCAATTTTTTACATCCAGACAGTACTCTGCGTTGATACCACTGCTT